CTCGTAGGGCCTGCAGCAACCCCTCCACCTTCAACTGCTGTGCCCATTTGTCCATGGCCTGATTCTGTTTTGCTGCAGAGGATGTGCACCATTTCAATGCAGTCCTCTTCAGGCGACCCAGAATAGTCCCTACCTTTGTCACCTCTGGACAAACAAAGCTGCCCAGGTATGCCTGCATGGCGGTAACCCAATCTGAGACATCCACCTTGGGGTCTTCCCCATAATACATAGGAGGTGGTGTCAGCTTGGGCTGCCGCTGATCAGATGTACCAGAGGCGGCAGGAGTAGTGGACACATGAGAACCAGCAGGTGAAGATGGTCGACTGCGAGGTGGTGTAGAGGGCGCTAGGGAAGGTTGAGGAGGTTTGGGAGAAGGGACAGGTAGCTGCAAGTGATGCAGGATGCAGTTGACACTCGTCGTCAGGGACTCAAGGTTTGCTGCCAGCTTATCAACCTTGGGGTCTATGGCAGAACCTTGGGTCTCGAGGGCGAGTATCCTCTGGTCCCAATTAGAAAAGTAGGACATGTTGATGGTGTCTGTTAAGAGCACCAGTTCAGCAGTGTCCTTACTGTACTGACTGGATGTACCACTGGCCACAACCTTTTCAACCTCTTTGCGTAGCTGTCTCCTTCTCTCTTCATTCCTACTAGCCTCCTGAGCTTCCGCCATCTCCTGTTTCAACCGTTGGATCTGGGTCTCTGCCTTGAGGCGAGCTTGCTCAGCCTCAAGTTGGGCCTGTTCCAGAGGAGAGAGAGGAACCTGAGGAGGGTTAGTGGAAGTTTCACCTCCCTCAACCTTTGTCTTAGCGTCAGCCATAATGTCACACTCACACAGTCGAATAAATATAGACAGGCAGATACAAGGTCAGCAGAGATTATGATTACACACACACACACTGATATAATCACTGCCACCTGATGAGAAAAGACGTGGTGTATAGGGCAGAAGAGCGCTCAGCCTCTGTAGGTTGCTGAGGGCTGTCCTGGGTCAGTTTAGGTCACAACCAGATAAAATCAGACTTGCGATTTTTCATTCACAGCCCAGAACCCTCTTCTGAGTAATTATCCCCAAAATCGCTGTCAGATACATAGCCAGGATGCAACCTTGGACTGTAAGTAGGCAGATTAGAATAGCGCAGAGAGTCAGTAGCAATCCCAGAACCCAGTAGTCAACCAAGATGCAGCGGATGACTGATCAGGCTATTTTTAGACTCCTACTACTGACACTGGCACTGTAGGACCTTGTATGCCCCACTATAGGTGAGGCGAAGTACAAATATCACTGTACCTGACTCAAAACATCAAATCCAGTATAGCGCTTTCAGACACTGACTCGATACTGAATTGCGATTTCAAGGTGACTGACAAACTGAAATTCTGACGGACAGAACCTAAGTTATGACAAACCCTAGCTGCCCCAAGCACTGGCTATGGCAGCGCAACATTCAGAACTTCATTATCATTGAGTATCACACCGCCCAACAGAAAGAAACGCAGCAGAAGACTCAGAGGAGCGAAGTGAAAGCAAACACAAACAGTGAATTCTCTCCACACTGGTCCCAACAATCGTTCATAGAAGACAACCGAGTGATCACAACCAGAAATCAATGAAGAGATGACAACTCAAACACAGCATTACAACTGTTTATTAAACTCAGAGCATTGTTTCCACTGAATACCCTCAGAACGCTGTTGCGCTACCCTCAGAGGGGTAGCGCCTCAACGCCAACACCCTGAACAGCTAAAAATAGCACCGAAACCCCAGGTAACACCCAGCGCCACCCTGACATCCAACTCAGTGGCCTGCGCCAAAGTGAAACAGGCTCCCAGAGCCAATCGCCATCCACATGATGAAGAAGCTCAACGCCAACAGTCCCTTATGAAGATGAAGTCCAGACGATGATATCTCTGAGAAGATGCAGCTATGGCTGCATCGCCACTGGGACCCTACTCCTGAGGAGGGTCAGCAGTGCACCACGTGCTCCAACGCATCAGACCTCTGATAGCCCAGACCGCTTCAACTCCCCGAGAGTCAGAGCGGACAGCGTTGACCCCAGTCCGGTCAGCGCTCCGAACGTCTGGCTATGTCCGCCGTCTCCAACACCGGAATCAGCAACCACGACCTGACACCGTGTGCGCAGAAACTTCCACCACGAAGTGTCAACTGCCAAAAGCCCAGGACCGATGTCCCCATCCTATCTATACCCTAGCACTAGCCTAGACCGACCTAGACCGGACTGACTGACCGACCGGTACCGTTTCTGTTTCGGCCTCTAGGGCCTCTCCCTACCCGGCTATAGGTTATAGGACCGTCTATCAGCATAGGCCCATAGGGCCTGTCCGTACTATGGGTAGCCCGGGTCTGCTATTCGCAGTTAGGGTAGCTGTAGGAAAATCGAGTTAGTACGGGGTCCATATTTCTATATTTACAGATATGTCCCTCACGAATTTTCCATACAGGCAGGTCTCTCGGTTAGTCCTCAGCGAAACAAAATTACGAATCTGTCCCTAACCATAATACAGCGTCGTCAGAGCAAGGCTACAGGCGACCTGGAACCAGCAAGTCATTGCAGCCTGAGTTTCAGAGCCGGTGGTTCTGATGAACGACCGAAAATGGCCCTTCGTTTCAGGCAAAAAAGGCTATTGCCGTTTTTAGGCCGAGGCTATTGCCGTTTTTAGGCTGAAACGACACAGGGACTGTAGGCCCCTGTTTTCAGGCTTTCGGGCTGAACAGTCATGGGCCTGTAGGCCCTGGTTTTCAGGCTTTCAGCCTGAGGGATGCCGGGCCTGGAAAATGGCCCTCGTGTGCAGGCGCAGCATGTAACATCGATAGAATCAAACAGCACGTAGGGAAGGGACGTAACAGACAGTACCAGGTTCATTTTATGTATCACCCGGTGGACGATCTCTACTGAATCTCCAAGCAGGAACTGCTGCGCAGCGCACCCCACATTGTTAAGACCTATGAGCGAGAAATCGCCTCTAATGCTGTACCTAAAATCTCTGCAAAGCTCACAGCAACGGAGTACTCTAGAAATCTCTTTGCTTTGTTTGCACATGATGCGTTTGTCGGGGACTCGGAATGAGTTACTCACTTGAAGGGACCTCGCTCATAAGGTGGGGGTAGTTTGATGACCTGACCAAACACGGACTGAGACACACAGCTGATTTCTGAGTTTTGCTCATGGACTGAATGCCTTGCTGAGTTTCCCGCTTGCTACTGAGTTCTCCAAGTCTGTGTGTGTGCACACTTGCTGGTCTGCATGTCTGCCTGAGTGCTGTTGGCATGTGTGTGTGTGTGTGTGTGTGACCCGCAAGGGCACTTGTTCCTTCATTGGGCCCGCAGGGCCGGTACTTACCTGTGGCCGTGACATTGAGGATTGCAGCAGGGAAAACTCTCACGTGGCGGGGGAAGAGGCCCGCAACACTTGAAGCAGCGGGGAAACATTCAAGTAGCAGGTAGGTCGGTACCACACCCTGAAGAGGTAGATGTGCCGGGTACTCGAGGTCGAGCAGAAGAAGACAAAGTTGGCATTTTTAGAGGCCCAGTAGTTGTAGGCTAGGTCTAGGCGGGTACCAGTCCAGCCAGTCTGAGTCTAGGGCCTGTACGGCAATATCAGAGTCTGCAATGATGTTTCCCTCCGAAAGGGAGGAGGTACTGGTTGCTTGGAAGGCCGAGCGGTCTGGAAGTCACCGCCCAAGAGGCAGGCAGGCCGCTATATCTCCAGGCCGGGTGAAGAGCCCAGCCTCATTGTCGGTGTGCAGGTTTGGCGACACACTGGTTGGAGCGCTGGCTGGAGCAGCGCTGCTGGGGAAGGAGCAAGGACATGGAGGAGGAAGAAGGCCAGGCGGAAGGGGGAGCGCCAGAGGTGCTTACCTGGCTATGGTGGTTGCCATCTTCATCACCTTGGTGGGCGCTGCAGCAGGTAGGCCCCCATTGGGGCAGAGCTACACCAAGAAGCTTCGAGGCACAGTCAGGCATGGCGGCCTGAGCTAGAGCAGCCGTAGCTGCTTCGTGTTGTCCTTTGGAGAGCCGGGCCATGCCCCGGTAGTCGGCCATAGCCTCGACCTAGGAGGAAGAAGGAGAGAGGCGGCCATGGCTATGGTGGACCTCAAGTGCAACCTGCAGTAGAAGAGGGATTCGGACATTGATTCTGGTTCAGCCATTCAACATTGTATTATTATTTCTTGTGTGAATAAGAGAGGAGTAGTTAAGGAGGAGGAGAGTGTTTGGCGAAGAAGAAGAGCGCTAGCTTTTGTGTATGCTGGTGTACATCATCTTCTTCTTCTTTCTTTCTTCTTCTTCTTCTTCTTCTTCTTCTTCTTCTTCTTCTTCTTCTTACTACCTTCTCTCTCCTCTCAAGTTCATTCATTTCTTTTGCAATTGGACGGCATTGTTCTATCTGATGAATTTGTACTTCAAAATTGGCCAGGATCATAACAATACATTCGCAAAGCTAGTTGAATTGGCGTCTCCTTTTGTTCTTCCCCTTTGTTTCTTCCCTCACCTCTTTTGTGCATGGATGTGCGTGTATGAGCAAGGCAACTTCTTCTGTGTATGCATCACCGTGCCCTTCCCTCACGAGTGTGATGATGGATGTATGCAGTCAGTTTTGAGTCACGATGACTCAGATCTGTGTATTTCAGTCTTCCGCTGCATTGTTATGGCTCTTTCTTCGGTCGGTTCTCGGGTTCTGCGCCATGTCTTTCCGATTTTCGGGCATGTGACATAGGGTTTTCTTTATCAAGAGACTGCAGTGCACTGTACTCTCCTAATTGGTGTGCATTTCCACTTTCGTATTCTGCTTTCAACTCGGCTCATTCATGCTTGGTCTTCTATGACATTTTGTATTCTGGAAAATTGGTGTTGTCATCACGTGGTTCCTTGGAGAATCAAATTAATTAGTTAAATTTAATCAATTTTAATGCATTTTTAAGTGAATTAGTTGATAAAGAATCTCATTCTTGTAGATATCATCGTGATTCTGCTGGATATTCAGTGCAGGCAATCCTTATGTGGAGTATGCAATCCAATATGCTGTTGCTGTGGCAAAGTTGTTAAGGAGGCAAGAGGATCAGGCAAATCTGTTATGCCAGTTGCAACAAGGCAAGTTGTACTTTTTTTCTCTTTGTTTTGTCTTACAAGTTATGCATTTTATAATTTACTGCCGCTATGTTTGAATCTTTGAGTAATTTTGAATACTCTTTTTGTTTTTGAAACAAGTGAACTCATTCATTGAGCCATAGAGTGAATGGTGTTTTACATGCGGCGCATCGCATGAGTGTCGGGCACACACGTGTGGCACAAAGTGCTTGCACATGTGGTCCGCTGCATCCCATAAAATAGGGTTCCATTGAAAATTAGGGAATGTGGGGAACGGTTGCAAGGCTTGCCCCTCCCCTCAAAAAAACAAGAGGGAGAAAAAAGCAAATTCAAGGCCACGCCCCATTCGGGAATGTATGCAAGTGATGCTTCTGTTCTGATACAGTCATAAAGCATTTGGATCCTACTATACAGAACAGATAGTTCTGACAGTAGTTCGTTTTTCTTTTTTCCTGGTAATAGTAAGGACATTTCTTTTGCTGCACAACGGATTCTTCTGACATTAGCTAGCTCTGAGATTTGTGAAGTTGTTACCTATCTGCAAGGAAAATGAGCGATAGTGAAATGACAGAATTCCAGAATGCAAAATCACATTGAATGCCAGAAAGTCCGACGCTGTCCAGAAAGCAGAAATGCACCGATGTTCCACCAACTGAGAACCAAAGCACCAAATCCGAATGTCAATGAGAGCATACTCGCGCCACCACTAACATATGTATCCCGAGCCCTTCCTCGTACTTGGCACTCAGCGCCCAGACTACAATCACACAGCTACTACCAGCCTACAAATTGACAATGCAACCAACCTCTTGACGTCAGCAGCAACAACCGAAGTACATGAACATGTCGACCCATCGCCAAGACTGGGTACATGCCCTCACATCCTCATCCTCATCTCTCTCTCTCTCTCTCTCTCTCTCTCTCTCTCTCTCTCTCTCTCTCTCTCTCTCTCTCTCTCTCTCTCAGCCTCGACTTCTACACCCATGTCTTCTCCCTCATACACGAAGACCACCACCACCTCCCCTGACTTAGTCCAAGCCCAAGCCCAGCTATGGGGGGCTGGGCTATGGCGCTGCCCTCAGCGGTGCCCTGCTCACACGCACCGCACGCGCGCACGTCCCAGCACCCTGCTCTTGCGCACAGCCTTTGCCGCGAGCCCATGCTCAAGCAGCGATGCCGCACTGCACACTGGTGCCCAAATGTCTTCCCTGGCGCCCGACACTTTCCTATATCGAAAGTGTTGGGTGCACGGTCTTCACTTTCCGGCGGGGAGGAGTTCCCACTAGCTTCAGTCTCGGCCAAAGTGTCTGAGCCCAGGCCCGTTCAGACAGTGGCTTGGGACCGAATTAGTTAGGCATGCCCAACCACCCAGGCACAAACGTGCGGTGTTCCACGTTGCTGGAAGAGCCTGGAAGGCTCATGAATATTTCTGATTCTCATGAGCAAAGCGGATGTAACCAACTGGTGCGTGGCAACTGTCTGGCGCCCACCAAGATTTGCAAAAATTGACGAGTTCAGGGCACATTGAGATTCAGGGGGCCCGCCTTCAGTCAGGGTGGGCACATGCCTGCTGCGGGGCCTTATGCCGAGGGGTGAACCCTCACACCTCTTGTCATGCAGGAAGCTACTTTTCAGGAAGGATTTGGTCATGATGAGGCTGTGCGCAGTTCATGAAATAGGGGTTCCCCTTAACTTTCACGAGGCCTGTGCACTGCTCAAATGTATGCAGCTGACGATTGGATACGGTCATGATGAGGGCTTGGTCATGATGAGGCTGTGCGCAGTTCGTGAAATAGGGTTCCCCTTAACTTTCACGATGCAGCTGACGGTCGGATACGGTCATGATGAGGGTGCACCATCTATGAGGCCTGCATGCTGCCCGAATGGATGTAGGCACCGATTTAGGTCCGGTACAGCTGTGTTGAGGGTGCACCTTCGATGAGGCCTGTGTGCTGGTTCACCGAATACAGGTGACTATGTGGGTCCCATACGGTCATGAGTGAGGGTGCAACGTCTATGTCGGCATGCTGCACGAGTGTATGCAGGTGGCGATCTAGATCCGATACAGTCATGATGAGGGTGCACCATCAAGATGCCCTCCTGCTGCCCGAATGTATGAAGGTGACAATTTGGGTAGGATACAGTCATGATGGGGGATCGTGGTGACGGGAAATTAAAACAATACCTCCACCGTGTTCATGCCTGTATTGGATCGGCAAGTCACCTTGATACATTCGAGGGCACTACACACCCTTGTGAACTTCCGTAACTGCAACGAGCGCATGTTGTGCCCTCAAATGTATTCAACCTGGCTTTCAAGTTGGATACTCTCCCTCTTTCTCACACACACACACAAAAATAATAATAATAAAAAAACAAAATGTGTGCGCACAAGGGAATTAGCACGCTGTACAGAGCGCTCCTTCCATGTGTGTCTTGTGCACGGTGCGAGTGCGTAGGCGCGCATATTAAACTCGCGCGTGGCGAAATGTGCAACCCACCGCAAGGCATACTGCACTGGTGTGCCGCAAGTATGGTGCTTTACTGTTACATATGCTCCTTATACTTTCCTGAAGTTTCCTACCTTTTCTCTTTTTTTTTTAACTTTTTTTCCCTTTCCCCCCTTCCCCCCCTCCCCCCCCCTCCCCCTCCTCTTACCTTGCTCAGTTTTGTGATCCTATTTCGTTCATTCCCATTAGACCATGAGGCATCTGTACCTCCACCTACTGCCACCGCCACGTCCCTGATTTGTTTGTACCTTTATTAATATTTATTATTCTGCAATCAGACTTGCTTTCATTCACACTTTACATGCATGCAAACAGCGGCGCAGCAAACTGGCGACATGCGCCCACTCAGTACTCAGAGTTATGGCAACCCAGATACAAGTTCACTTCCAATGGCTATGGCGATATAGCGCCCATACAACTCTCTGTTCGCATACAGTGGATCACCCTGGATATCCCACACACGTCTCTCTGAACACTCACACACACACGCACTGAACACTAACTACAGCTATGGCCGCTATGGCCGCCTCTACCCTATCGCTATGGCTAAGCTTCGTCTCTCTGCCCACTTCTTCTTCGGGCTCACTGCAGTCCTCCTTGCACAAGTCGCTGTGGCAGCGCCTCTGCATGGCTCACGCAGGAATGAATGAATGGCTGGGCGCTGCCTCTTGATTTATACTTCTGTAGTGCGTTGGTCTGGCCCCTTTCCCAGGCCCGAAGTGCACACAGTCCCATGCGGTGCTTGCTTGACTGGACCGGACTGCCTAGGACTGGGACTGCTGACTCAGCACGGGCAGGCTCCACCACTTGCCTCGCCAGTTGCCACGCGTGGGTAACCAGGGGTGTTATTTTCGACGAATTTTGCACCGAATTGCACTGAAACTGTCATATTGTGCTGATTTTTTGCTTTTTTTCTTGTTTTTSTTTTTGTGYGAYATATATGTGCTTTAGGGTACGTCATGTGTGCAGTTTTGACATGTTTGGATCAATAATGAAAAAGTTGGCATTTTGTTGAATTGTTTGACGCTTCATTTTGACTCAGACAGTGTCTTTATGTTACGGTTTCATAGTGTTTTTTTTTTTTTTTTTTTTCGTTCTCAGTAGTGCAGTAATCTGGCTCTGTCTTTGGGGCCTCCTTAACTCTCTTGAGGAGGTCACTGTAGATAGGGTCCTGCGCATACTCTTGTCTAACTTTTTCCTTGCAGGTCATTCCCTATGTCCAGATAGTGAACTATGGCTCCAAAGTAGTCTGATCTCCTACTCATAGCATCCGCAATTACATTGCATTTGCCCTTAACTGGCTTAAGCTCAAAGTCATATTGGTCTATTTCAGCGGCCCACCTAGTCAACTTAGGTGTCATTTTGGCCTGTGTCTTCAACCATCTAAGCGTTTCATGGTCGGAATACACTTTGAAGTGCCTCCCAAGCAGGTAATGCTTCCAATGCTCTAAGGCCTGCCTGAGAGCGTAGAGTTTTCTCTCATACGTCGAGGTGGCTACCTTCTTTGAGGGCATCCTCGCTGACATGAACTCTACGGGTCGGTAGCCATTGCCGTCGTCTTGCTGTAACACGACGCCTATTCCATACTGACTCGCGCCCGTGGTGACGACAAATGGCAAGGATGGATCTGCTACCTTGAGGACAGGATACTCCATCAACGCGCGCTTCAACTTCTTTAGCGCAGATGTACAGTCTCTATCCCATTGCCAGATCGCTTCTTTCTTGAACAACCTGCGCAAGGGAGCGGCAATAGTAGAGAAGTTCCTCACAAACTTCCTGTAGTAATTAGCTAAGCCCAGAAACAACCGCAACTTTGTCAATGTGCAAGACATCGGCAAGTCTCTAATTGTCACGATCTTGCTCTCCTCTGGCTTAATGCCATCTCCGTCTAATACGTGGCCCAAGTACAGGACATGTCTCTTGGCCCACTCGCACTTCTTTGCATTGATCTTGAAGTTAGCTTCTCTTAGCTTCTCCAAGACCTGCCTCCAATGACCCTGGTGCTCCTAGAGGGTCCTACTGAAGACTAGGATGTCGTCTAAGTAAACTACGGCGAACCTATCAAACCAAGGCCTAAACAGATCATTCATACAACACTGAAACGTAGCTGGCGCATCGGTCAGTCCATAGCGCATCACTATGAACTCGTAATGCCTGTATCTAGTCCGGAACGCAGCCTTGTACTGGTCATTAGGATGAACCTCTATCTGATGATAACCGGACTTCAAATCTATCTTTGAGAAATACTTGCAACCCTGCACCCGATCGAAGAGATTGTCTATCATGGGCAGTGGGTCAGCATTCCTGACTGTAATACCATTCAGACCCCTGTAGTCTATACACATGCGCAACTCTCCCTCCTTCTTGGGGACAAACAAAACAGGTGCTCCAAAAGGAGATGAACTGGGCCTAATCCAACCTTTCTCAAGGAGCTCGTCCAACTGCTTGCACAACTCCTCTAACTCTCGACGGGACATCCTGT